CCTGTGCTACTGTTTGGGGCTGAAGCATGTTGAACAAATGAAGCAAAAACAAAGACAAATATTGTGCAATTTGCAAGTCATAAAAGCCACTCTATCTCTTCACACGAGCAAACACTGCATTACCTCCGATGCCCTGATATCAAACTAACCTGAGCATTTTTCACACATTTTTAGCAAAGTTCGTCAACAGTAAATAAGAAGCCACTCTCTACACAGCTCACAAATGCTCTGATAAACACTTAAAACACACTCACGACATTTTGTCAATCTTACAAAAAATCAAAGTGGTCAGTATTCACACTACAAAGATAAATCTTATTTTTCCCCAAATACTCTTACAATTACATTCATAAAATTTTCAAACAAGACAACTCTATTAAAATTTAATAAAAATCAACCTGCATGCCCTATAAAAATTGATACGATAACGAATTTACACGATGGTGAACGAAGTGAGCGTGCTCATTTAAGAACAAACCTCAGGAGCCAGGCAGGGTTGAGAACATGGAAATGAAAATTCAACATAAATGAAGGAAACCATTAATAATGCCCAGTACGTTCCAAAAGGCACTCACTAATTGGGGCTTTCCTAGAGCATAGACACAAGAAAGCCGAAAACTCTCTCATAGAGAAAGTTTACCGTAGAGGCGCAATATTAGCTATCTCACAATGAACCTCGCAATATTATCTATCTCACTGCAGAACTGAACCTCGCAATATTATCTATCTCACTGCAGAACTGAACCTCGCAATATTATCTATCTCACTGCAGAACTGAAACTCGCAATATTATCCATCTCACTGCAGAACTGAAACTCGCAATATTATCTATCTCACTGCAGAACTGAAACTCGCAATATTATCCATCTCACTGCAGAACTGAAACTCGCAATATTATCTATCTCACTGCAGAACTGAAACTCGCAATATTATCCATCTCACTGCAGAAAAGAAACTGCCACAAAACTTCTTGTTGGGAGTTAGCAATAAGCACATCCAATTACCCCTGCTCACTGCGAGACTCAATGAGTCCAAGAAAATCGTTGACCCGTATCTGGTGTAGGATAGTGGTGGGCAAAATCCGGAATCACCGGATAATTCTCAGTGAAACATTATCCGAATTCAGACTCTTAAACTCTTTCATGACCCGTTTGCAGAAGTGAGTGCACCAGTTTGTTGAAATGGTTCTAACCCATTTGCCGAAGCGGTTCATAACACATTTAATCGCCGAAGAGGTGCACAAATATATTATCCGGATATTGCTGAAGCGACTCACTGCCCAGCCCTAGTTTAGGATTACCGAGACTGCTCAACAAAACAATGTCGGGAGGCCAAAAGATTGTGTAAGAAGAACTGCTCCCCTGGCACTGACGTTGTTTCCATAGAGACGCGAGGAGCTTTCTCCAGGGTTACTGTCTAACAGGGACATGGTGGTTTTTCCAGCACAACTTTTGGATTCTCTACATACAAAAACAAAATACAAAACCCTAGAAGTTAAAAGAAAAATTGAAATACTAAAAAGAGCAGGGAAATACAATAACTATTTCACAGAATAATATTGCTACTTTAATCATATTCCCAAGAGGGAGTAAAAATAAAGTTAAAAATACAGTCCATCTCACCCTTATGACCACCTGTCCAAGACAATCACCTGAACAAATGACCACTGCCCACTTCCTCTCTTACATTGAAAAAAATGTGACATTGACACTGTCCAAGACACCCACCTGTGGTCTAAGACACCCGATTTTCTCCTCAACAATGAGCATCCATCATGGACATATACCACTGTATTCACAAATTCATCTTTTCCTTGGGATAACCTTTTGGTAACGACCAACTGCTAGACAAAATTTTTTTGGTAAAATACACGAAACTTTCACTGCAATCAAATCAAAATTTTAATTCACCTCATCTTCACAAAAAACAGTCTTTTCAAGTGCATTATATAAAATATCCTAGTACAAAAAGCATACTGCTCTCATGAGAGACGGCACATTTGTTAGAAGTTGGGAGTGGTCTGAACACCTCTACGAGGCTTTGTTCAAATTACATGTCGGACAAAAGTATATGTGTGTCATGCTACAGCCTAATTACACACCACAGCCTAACTACACACCAGCTCAAAGAGATGAGGAACCCTTTGCCTTGCTTGTGGTGACTAAAGCCATAAAAAACAATGATATAATGACCGAAAGAGGCAGTGATGACTACGCTGCAAAATCTATATATATACACCTAAGTCTATTGCTCTAATGCTGGAATTCTGCCCACTGTTTTGAAGTAACATCTAAATGTGAGGCAGCGTGGTGAAATCAGGCCATTGTCAAAACTATAAAATCAAAGAAACCAGTATTCTTCTGGATGTTGGACAGTTTTTTTCTTCGAATGTTCTTTTTTTTTTGGCTAAACACCTTTAATGTCCTTTTAAAAATGGATTTTTCGTGCATTTTACAGAAAAACGTTCATCAAAGGCAAAAAAATGTACGTTTTCAGTTTCTAAGGACACCCAAGCTTTGCAAGTCGCCAAACTTTGGTGGCCATTTTCTCGCTAAATTTACCTCTCATACCCACCTCCTTCAATCGTAAATATTTTGTTTTCTATTGAAGATGAATGGATATTTTTCCGCTAAATTCAAGACATAAGAATACCCTTTAGGAAGATCCAAGATATTAATAAGTCTATAGGCCCAAAAATTGACGAGCGTCTGATTCCACCACGTCGCGACACAAATCTCAAAACCTCTTCAAAGCCAGTACGCTGTACTTTGTAGTGAAACTTGAGCAAATCTGGGCAAACATGCAATTAGCACTGAGTATCAGCAGTCATGTTCTCAGGACCTTAAAACACCCCAAAAGGCCGCTAAAAATGCCAACAGATACAAAAACGAAACCACTGACCAATCGTATAAAACTGCTGCAAAAGTCAAATAGTTGGAGGAAGTTCCTGTTTGAGAGGAGACTGAGCACAAGTTCACTCATTATGCAAGACAAGAGAATCTTACAAAAACAATTCTCTTCCGAGAATCCCTTTCATATACATGCTGCAACTCAGTACTGAAAGCTGCGTCGACATCATGTCTAGAACCTGCTTATTATTATGCATCGATTCAGACGAAACAACTGATGAAAAGTTCCTACAGGACACGTAAATGTCCTTGTTTTAGTAGAGGTTTTACGGCGCTCGCAACTGCATAAAGTCATATGAGCGCCAATCACATAAATGTCCATCGCAATCTAGCTCCAAAATAAAGTTCTACAGACATTTCTTCTCAAGTTATCCTTGCCACTCTAATGGAGAGTTGAACTTTACAAAGGTGGTATACATCAAAAACAAATTAACCCTATCTGTACGCCTATGGTCTTCACATTTTAGAATACTTCTAGAGCGAATATCTCTTTCAAGAAACTTTCAGTATAAAAATTTCTCGAAAAATCCTTTTGACAGACTGCTATGCAAAGCGTACAGATCGGATTAACGAGTAAATTTCCTCTTTGGAAAGTGGTGGCACAGAGTTCCCCACATCGTATGGATACGATAGTAAAACAAAACGTACGGATAGGGTTAATATAATAAAGGGCATCTGAGACAGAATGGAGCACAAGCGTACCGCACTGCAGAGCACCTCCACTCTCTGCAACCATCAGATACTCTAAAAACTTTGTGCACTCTTAGCACATTACGATCGCACACCTACGTTGAGAATAGGTCTTTATTTACTTACAGTAGCCACCAGCATATACCCATGTCCTTTAAAATTCTTATCCTTTGCTTTCTTTTTAAAGTCCAGCTCAGTCCTTTTTTCTCTTTCAAAATCAGGAATTGTACACCAATATAAAACATATATATATAAATATATATGTATAATTTGCCATTTCTGCCATATTAAAACAATTCTATATTATCACATGAGTGCACATAAAAGACATTAAGATCTCCTCACATTTCTCCAGGAATCAGACGCTGCTTGACAAGCTACACCCAGCAGAAACCAACACACATGCAGCCAGAACCCTTTTACTCAAACGAACGTACTGACGCACCAACACACCAACAACCACAGATACGACAGAAGTTTGAACACAAACGAATATACTGACCCACCAACACACCAACAATCACAGATATAATGACAGAAATTCGGACAGGAAACTATCTTCTAATTAAACTACACTCTGTTATCCCTCAAGACTTGACCACACACACATACTTCCTCAACAAAGAGCAGAGCTGGGTCCACCCTTGTCAGAGTCTACATGTACAGTACAGCACCTGGAGCAAAAGTCATTTATGAAACGCTCAGTAACATAATTCAAGCACATCAGCCTAGCCAGAGACATTCATGTCTGCACCACCTGCAGTCTACTGGATTCAGTAGTTACTACTGCCTTTATTTCTCCTACTACGCATTTAAGCAGAAGTGACAAAAACGTGAACAGTCGTCCTCATGTGAATTCTCGGACACACTTCACATTCAAAACGAGTTTCCTTTCAGTGTCTGGACTCTACGCAGCTGATCATCACAGCCAAGAGAAGCACAAATATAATATCAGTTAAAACATAAAAAAGACAAAATCAACTCTCTAACAAAAAGTTCCCCGACACAAGAAAGAAGAAACTCCAGGCTGAAAACTGCATTGACTGAATCAAACCTGCATGGACAACCCTTGAACACTCCAGATGGAACGAAAAGAAAAGCATGGAGATAACCGAAAATGCACACCTCTCAAACACCATAAGATAAAACATTACTCATAGTATTGAGCAAGAGTAACCGACACAATAATATACAAACAACATGATAGACTTGTATTTCAAATATAATATATGCTTATTTTCCTGAGTTCAAAGCACAACAGTGACTGTACACAACACGTATATATATAATA